TTCTAGCCATGCCCTCTGCTGCTGTGCTGGGCATTGCACTGCCTCTCTCCTCTCTGAGAGTGCCTTCAGGAGGTGTGTTAGAGCCACCACAGGCTCATGGCCTTGTCCGTTATATTCCTTTTACTATCGTTGATAGAGTGTTTCATATAGCCCAGGCTAGCCTCAAACTTGCTACGTGGTCAAGGTTAGCCTCGAACTTCTGGTCCTCTAGCTCTAGCTCCAGGTCTTGGGATTACAGGCAGACATCACCAGGATTGGTTTATGCAGGGCTGGGAACTGAACGCAGGACCTTGTGCATGCTGGACAAGCACTCTGCCCACTGGTCAACATCATCTGCCCCAGTTATTATTCTTCTCTTTGTAGTTGTGGAAGTTAAGCCTAAGGTCATAGGCAAATTCTCTACCAACGGAATTCCATTCCCAGCCTACTGTGCTCCTTTTGGAAACCTCAGCCCAGGAAGTACAGACTAGAGCAGGCAAAGTTGAAGGGGGGAAGGAGGAGTCTCTGGTAGTTAGACCCAAGTACAGTAACCCTTGGGACTTGGCAGCAGGAGGGCTGGAGCTGAGGTGGGTGGGCCTGCCAGAAGGTGGCAAGACTGGGATGACTCCTTCAGTCTTTTTGGCAGGCCTGTGCAGAAGGAACCCTATAAATAGCAGATGGCCTTAGGCCTCTCACCACCCCCACTCACATTGGCAACTCCAGCGACTGCTCATGAGAGCTACCCTCATTCCCTCAGTCAGAGGGCTTATCCCCTCACCCCTGCCCTGGCTAGCTTCTCCTCAGGGACCATACTTCCACTTCCTTTGCTGTGACCTATTGGCTTAGGCTGACTACATGCTTAGCACTTCCCAATCTTAATTCCTGAGCCCAGTGGTGCAGTCTTTACAGCGGTAGACAATAAGCCATGTGTTCATGGCCTAGACACTGCACAGCCGAGGTTCTGACCCCGAAGCCTTTGCTCTGTCCACTGCACTGCAGACTGCCACACTCCCGATGTCCATGCTGGTTTGTCTGCTGAGGGATTTAGTCATTGTCTCGTTGCATCCCTAAACAAGAGGGAGACTCCAGGGTCCGGCAAATGAGCTGAGTCTCAGTTTCCCTTGTACCCTGACATGGTCACAAAGTCCAGTGTGAGTCAGGGTAGTCACTGGATGCAGTTTCCTCAGTCTTTTGCAGACAGCTTGGTTTCAGTTTCTAAAAAGTTGTGAGTTCAAATCAAAACGAAACCAAATCCAGATGCCGGAGGGAAAGAGAAATGTGCTGAAAAACATAGCTTCCTGTCCTGGGGCCCAGAGCAGTGCGCTCCATTTACAACATAGATTTTTGCGCTATTTGAGGTAGGGTTTGTCTTCCCTCCTCTGACTTTGCCTCTCTATCCTCCCAGGGCTGGAGTGTCTAAAGGGAACACAGTAGGCTGGGGATGGAATTGTTGGTAGAGCATAGGTATGACCTTAAATTCAGCCTCCCGTACTACAGAAATTGGGGCGAGAGATGTAGATCCCCTGCAATTTGGGTTGGGATACAAGAGGTGGGACACAGTCTGGCCTGTAGGCCAGCTTTCTCTAGCAGTGGGGAGAGGGGGAGGGGTGGAGAGGAGAAACCAAACCTTTGGTTTCTCTTTCCAATGCTGGGAAACGCTATCGCTGGGAAACTCGGTCCCTGGTCAGTGAGTGTGATTTTGAAAGGGCTTTTTTGAAAGTGCTCTTTGCCCAACTCTCCTTGACAAGGGGTGGGGGTGGGGTGTGGGTACATGGTCCCCATATGGGAGGGATTGGATGGTTGTGGGGTAAGATGAAGCAGACAGAAAAGACTGACCAGTGCAAAGGCCCTATAAACACGGGCAATCTTAGGGTTCCCGAACAGCATCTCAGGTCCACTAGGGCCACTAGCCAGCCATGTGGTAGGGACAGAACAGACCTGGACAGACCCCAATGGTCTCTAGCAAGGGAATGGGGGTGGGCAGAGAAAGTCTTGAACTTTCAGCCAATGCTGTGGCTGATTCCTACCCCACTCCCCCTTGCGTCTGACAGGGTGATGTGTACCCACACATGTAACCATGATTGGTATTGCTTGAGACACAATAAGTGTTACTTTATTAGTTTTCAAAAACAACAAAAAGCAAAACTGCTCACTCAATTGCTTTAATTCATGTTGCATAGAAATTGCTGCAAGGACATGTTCCTGTTGCCAGCATCTTCCCCAACATCCCCTAGTGATGGCTGTCTCCATTAGGGATCAAATGGACACAGGAACAACATGAGTGTCTCACTTGTGTCTTCGCCCTAAAAAATAGAAATGGAAAAGGGGCCTTTAATACTAGCTTCCCATGCTCTCCATGGCCCTCTTCACAGAGTCTCCCACTATTCCACTGGACAGGTACCTGAGCTACGCCTCTTAGTTCGGTGTGTCCGCTTCCGCCTCCTGACAGCCTTTCTCTTGTTCACCTTCCCTTCCAAGGTCTTCCTGTTCTTGGAACAGCAGCCGCGATATTTAGGTGAGTGTCGGGAGTGCATGGTTTGTTTGGGGCTGGGGCTGGGGCTTGAACTGGAGCTCGGGTGGCCTGCCTGGCTGCAGCTCCGGCAGTGGTGGCTGCAGCTGCACTGGTTAGAGGTGTGGCCTTGGGACCGAGGGGGGTGGGTGGAGGAAAGGCTCTGCATCTTGGTGTCCATTGGAGGCCACAACTGGAGGGGCAGAGATCTCCTCCTCCTCCTCTTCTCCAGCAGGCCCAGCTTTGGAGAGCCCCACAGCACCTAGTTATATAGCTTGGCCTATTATGATGGCACAGGCCACAGAGGGTGACAGGTATGGCAAAGCCCTGCCCATCGCCCTCTCCCCAGGGTGGGGCAGCTTTCAGAGCCCTGTGGGTCAGATTGTGTTGAGGTCGCATCTCAGGTTCGCACCTAGCTTTTTGTTTCGTCCCTGTGTGTTCACCTCTCCAGAGTCCAGTTTCCCAGCTTTGTGGGATGGGGATAATAAACCATAAACCATTGCACCCAACTCACAGTGACATTGACATTGGAAATATTAACAGTTTGTATCATGAGGTTAGGTGAGGACCAGTTTGCGGTCAGTGCTTCAAGGCCTTGAGAGCGGCAGAACTCCCTTCCTTTTCCACCTGGTCAGCTGGTATAGCCAGTGGATGGGCAGTGAGGCAGTGTGCCCTAATTGGTTAGCATCTTGGACCAAAGACTTGCAGAATGACTAGAGGTTGGAATGGACCCCACCTTCTCAGCCTTCCCAGGTGAGAAGTTGAGCATCAGGTTCAAAGCCTAGTTTGATCTTGGGTATGCCGTGAGGTTCCCTCAGTCTGATATGAGCCCTTACTTCTATTGAGCTAGGATGCCAGCCCTTGGGTCCTAGTAGCCTCCCAATGGGACTCAGTGTTCAGACTCTGCTCCAGCCCCCAGCCCAGAAAAGAAAAGGTCAGGTTGTAGTGATGCCGGTGTGCTCTGGTGCTGGCGTGCCCTGACGCCAGTGTTCTCTTCCCAATATTCAGCCACTTTACTAGATCACTCTTGTGCTCCCACAGCTCTGGCTCTGAGATGCTGTCCATCCTTCTGCCCACATGGCCCTGCTCAAGCTTCTGTACTGCACTATTCCTGCGATACTGCCCCTCATGGCCAGCATTTACTGGCAGGTGTGTGTGTGTGTGTGTGTGTGTGTGTGTGTGTGAACTCTCAGGAATGGCTTCTCTCCTTGAACTCGGGTTACCAAACTTTATGGCAAGTTCCTTTAACCATTGAGCCACTTAACTCGTCTTTTGTTGTTGAGACAGTTTCAGTGAGCTGGCCTGGAACTCCCTGTGCAGCTGAGGATGACACCCCCTCCCACGTGCTCGGATTTCAGGCAGAGCTCTAAGTTAATTTCTTAATATATACACCAGATGGCCCATTGTGGAAACTGCCTGGTTTACCGAGCCCTGCCTATTCTACTCATCCTTTTCAGCCAGCTCGGCCTGGAAGCATCCCAGTGACTGCAAATGCAGGCTGGATAGTAGCTTCCCCTCCCCCGAGATGTGTCCACTGGCAAGTATCATGTCCACTAGCAGGTATCCTCAGAGAGGCTAGAACTATCACATGAGCCAAAGTAGAACGCTTGCCTGGCACATACGAGGCCCTTGATTTGATCCCAAGTGCTGCTAATTAAAGGAACAGGTTGGGGTCCTGTAGTCTTAAACCCACAATTTCTGGAGCAATGGCTAGTGCCACCTCTCCAAAGTTGTATCATCTAGACCCCTGTTCTGGGCAGCACACCTAGACATGGGCCAGCCCTGAGGCTTCTGCACCTTTCCAAATCAGCCTGGCTGTCCTTTCTGTTCACTCCCTTCGCTGTGTGGAAGGGAGGCTGGACCATACCTGAAGGGCCTCAGTGCTCATCCTTCATAGTTCCCCCACCAACCCTCTGAAAAAACCCTGGAGACCTCGTGTACTCATCATGGCTTTTTGACCCTCCCCTGAGTACTCCCAGTGGGTTCCACGACCCAGGTCCCCAGTGACTAGAAGGGTTGGGAGGCTTGCTGGAGGAAGCCTCTGTGGCAGGGTAGATGAAAGTTAAGGAAAAACAGGCTACCCGGGATCAGGAAGGTTGCAGACCCCACCAGTGCAAGTACCAGGACCTGGGCCTTCTAAGTTTCCTAGGGTTGTGCTGCATTGGCAAGAGGAATGAGTTTCCTGAGTAGTCAGGAACTAACTTCCCAAGGAGGGGTGGGGCTGAAGAAGCAAGTCAGACCTGTGTCTGAACCTGTTAATTTCAGCATTCAGAGGACGAGGCAGGAGGATTGCCCCAGTCAGTGCTACATAGAGCCTGCCTCGATTTGACCCTGACGGTGACTGGCAAGTGTCCCCCGAGCTATGCGCCCCACCCTTAGTGGCCGTTCTCCAAGCGCGCACATGAAGGGAAAGAGGGAAACCAGGAGTTCCTTGGAGACTCTTTATTTTCTGAATGTCCTCTTCCTCTGGAGTGGCGATGGGCACCCATCACCAGGCAGGCCTCAGGATGGGTCAGGAGTGCGTCTGCTTGGGCTCGGGGCTTGGCTGGGCCACGGCGTTGTCCTCGGAGCTCTCCTGCTTCTCGGACCCCAGCAGCAGCAGCTTGCCCTTCACCGGTATCTGCTCCTCCTCTTCCTCTTCCTCATCCTCCTCTTCCTCTTCCTCCTCATCCTCTTCTTCCTCCTCGCCTTCTGATGACAGGGAGAAGTTGTCTTGACTCACACAGGCCACGAGCTTCTTCATGGAGGACTCGTGGCCACGGCTGTGACCTGTGTTCTGGGCCGTGCCATGGCCAGTGCTGAGCTTGGCACAGCGGGAACCCATCACCCACTCCTGTCTCTCTGGACTAGGAGGGAGGCAGCTTGGGCAGTGAGAGGGTGTGAGGCTAGTGGGCGTGGCGCTGACCTCACAAACAGGTTCCAAGGCACCACCCTCCGGGGTGACCCTCCCCCACCCTGGAACTTGAAGCTCATTTTCCAGGAATCACTGGCTCAGATGACCCTATGAGCAGGGAGGGCTGATTGGAGAGGGCTGATTGGAGATGTCCGGGACAGGAGTTGAAGGGACAGGAGTTAGTTACCAACGCACCAATGTCAGGCACTCAAGTGTGCCTGGTTTATGGTGAGAAGATGGCCCTACTTCCAGTCCAGCCCCAAACTTGTTCACTTCCCAAGTCCTTGTGCATTTCCGCTCGTGTTTCAGAGGTAGAATTCCTCTTTAGGTGAAATTAGCATTTCACCATCCTTCCAAGGCTCAGGTTCCTCCCTGACAATAACTTGGAATGGTCCCTACTCCCTTCCCTCGGGACCATGACGCTCGTGAAAAGGAGACAGCAGCCAGTGAATCTTGTGTCAAGCTTTATTTGGCAGGTGGCTTTGCTCATTACTCAGATCTCGTGGCTCCTTGGCAGCTCAGGGCTCAGACATCAATGTGGCCTCGCGTGACGTTGCTTGGGCAGGTGGCTATTCCTTGGGCAGGCGACTTCCTTGGCTCCAGGCAGGATGGATGGGCCTGGGGAGGCTTAGTGGCGGCGCCTCCTACACTTCCTGCACCTACATCTCCTCCTCCTTCGGGATCTTCTGCTGCCTTTGGGAAGGAAAGTAAAGGTTTGCTACCTGGGAGGCAGCAGGGTTTGAATGGGGGTACTCCTGCCTTGATGGGCAGCAGCACAGGTGGTCAAGGTTCTGGGGTTCTTGGGTGCTTACATCTACGATGCCGCCTCCTGTGGCGGCAGGAACGTCTCCGCCTCCTGCTTGACCGGCGTCTCCTGTGGATCCGATGCAACTTCCTACGCGAGCAGCGCCGCCGTCTGTAATGGTAGTGACCCCTGTGTGTCCTCCCATAGTCCTCCACACGCTCTGGACTCAGCCCTTGCCCCTGCTCCTGCTCATCATGTCCATCGTCTTGCCCAGGCCCCTGGTGTGGATGCTCACTGGGGCTCCTCATTCGGTAACGAACCATAGTGCCAGGAGATCAGGAGGTTCCGGGCTGAGGCTGCAGCTGACTGGATAGAAGGAGGAGGACGGAAGCCTCCCCACCTGCTCTTGGTGGTGATGATGGTCTGGTGTGGGGGGCTCTCGGGGGGTCATATATAAAGGGGAACCCCACTGTGACCTGGCGGCCCACCCCTGATTGTTCCCACCCTGCCCAGGCTCCTCTGTGAGGGCGACACGGGCAGGGTTTGCAGCACTGGCTCACAGGCTGGGAGAGAGGGGCCAAGTTACTCGCCTTGCCTTAAAACCCTTGTAACTTTAGTATGAGACAAGGTTTCAACTTCTCTATCCTGGTCCCTCGCCTGGTTGCATGGTGTGTGCCATTGTTGCGGTACTGGGGCAGGCAAGCACTCTTACCAACTAAATTACCTCCAGCCCCAGCCTCTGTCCTCACACTGTCATGTGGTGGGAAAAACTTCCCACCTTCTCCATGTACACTAAGGACACACTGAACTACCAAAACGTCCAAACAAGTGCCAGACATATTCTCATGTATCTTCCATGGGGGAAACTGAGGCACAGAAAGTTTGTGTTGATCAAAGTTACTGCTGAGCCGGACAGAGTCAAGGCCGTGGTTTGGGTAACCCTGGCTGTCCTGGGACTTGCTCTGTAGACCAGGCTAGCCAGGTCTGCCTGTCTCTTGCCCCATGTGCTAGGATTAAAGATGTGAGCCACCACACCTGACCCTTCAGGGCCACTTCTCCTGAGGCATACTTGAAACAGTTTTTTAGTCTCATTTTAGCCCAGGCTATCCTTGATTTCTCTCATAATTGACGTTTAACCATAGGACATACTAGGGCTTGAGGCATAGTGTGCTTAGCATGTGCAAGGTTACCTAACAGCAAAAAAATTAAACTTGTGTATATTAGTGAAACTTACGGGGTTTGTACTTTTTATCTCCAACATGGTGGCTTTGGTACCTTGATCTTAACCATCATATATTGGCTGGATTTCACCATAAACAAAGAGGGCTTCAGGATCTAGAATTAAAGGCCAGTGAGAGTGGTAGAGTATACCTAGCATACATAAGATCTTGGGTCACCAACACCAAAAAACCAGGCACAAAATCACAACAGGCCATCCAAAGTGTACAGAGGGTCCCCTGGTGGCCTAGAAGGATAAGCTGAGCCCAGGCTTGGCTCACAGCCCGTGCAGGCTCCTGCTGCCTGCAGACACATGACCTCTGCATTCACACACAAACCAGTCCTAAGGATTGAGGTCAAGAGAAGGCCAAGCCTAACTGCTCAGGCCCCCATGGGCCTACCCAAGAAGGGATCGGTGATGGCATTTCAGGGAAGCGAGTCTAGACGGCCTGTCACACAGATCCATTGGAATTTCTTGTTCCCCAGTTTCAGACCAGTTAGACCTAACTCTGGAAACTCAACTGGCCTTCATATTTGGTGTTCGTCTTGAAGGCCCTCCACTTTCCGAAGGTCTTTGGCCCTCGTGTCAGCTATTGCCATTCTGGGGAGGGATCTGTAGAGGTGGCTGGGGTAGATGTTGACAGGTTTGAAGCCTCTCCCACTTGACCAGACCCCCTTACCCACATTCACCCACCCTTCGTGGAGCCCAAGAACCAAGAGGCATGAGTGGGATGAGTTTTCAACATTTATTGACAGGTGGCATTGTTCCTTAGCAGGCTCCTGTTTTTCATTCGATGGTGGCATTTTTCAAGATGTGGCGAGAGGCTCTTGAAGTCTGGTAAAATTCTCAGGCAGGAGTTTTGATGGACTTGCTATTCTGTGCATCTAGTATCTTTTACACCTCATGGTGTATGTGGGGCGGCGGCGGTAGCACCCTAGGGAGACAAGGTAGTGAGGAGGGGGATCTCAGGCTCTGCCCAGTCCCTGGATCCCCTGGACCCAGCCCAGCCAAACCCAGCTCCCTGCTCACTTCGCCTCCTCCTCCGGCAGCATCGCCTCCTCCGTCTGTGACATCTCCGCCTGCGGCGGCGGCATCTGCTCCTGCTTTTGCTGCGGCAGCGGTATCTGGCCATGATGCTGGCTTGGCCGGGAGCTGGCTCAGAGCAGGGGGCACCACCTGGGTCGAGCCAGCCAACCTGTGAGCAGGTGGAATTTTGCGGGCTGTGGCTATCGAGCCCGCACCCTCTTCCTCTTATAGACACGAGGGGCCCCTGTGGATTGTGAAGTCAAAAAAAAGGCCAGGACCTCACAGACCACGGCCAGTGAGGACCTGCACCGTGTCCAAATATGGGCATAAGAGGGGTGAGCAGGGTCTTGCCATCAGCAGTGGCTGTGTCACAGTCAAGAAGTGATGAGGAGAGCACCTCCGTGAGCATTCAGTCACTCATTCGTAGCGAGTGCTTGTCACACACCTGCTTCCAGGCGAGGCCCCCACAGATAATCCAAGGTCAGGCAAGCTGCTGAAACAGCCAGGCAAAACTGGAACTGTGAAAAAAGCACCCATCTTCAGACTGCCCAGAGGATATTTGCTGAGGGAACTTGACCTTATGAAAGTTAGTGAAAGCCCCAGCGGGGCACTGACCAATGAACCCAGAGGGTCTCAGAGCTGCAGGAGGAGTCAGCTCGGGTGTGAACACTGGGGTCACTCAGGTAGCCACCTAGGTGCAGGTCATCTTTTGGACACTACTTGACAAGAGGTGACTGGGCAATGTTGCTGCCCCTGTGTCCAGGAGAAGTTCACTTCCTGTTGTGTTGACTTCACCTCGGTTGCTGTACAGCCTGCAGGGGAAGCCAAAAGGCAGTTGGGCAGGAAGCGGAGGGAGGCCCAGCAGGTGAGCGAGGCAGCAATGGGAATTGGCTGAGATGGAATGCGACCTGCTCCATGCCCCTGTGGACTTCAGGCTTGGCATCTGGCCACAGGAAAAGTGACATGGGGTGAGACAGACTAGGAAGCCAGAGGCCATCGGTGTCCTGGCTCTGGGGACACACCAGTCAGTGGGCAGAGGAGTGATAGACATGTTCTTGTCGGCTGCTTTTTGATATTTCTGTCCAAAGATGCAGAGAGGCCTGAAAGGGAGCAGTGAGCGGATTGATGGGGATGTGGACATGGAGCCGATATGGGGACGAAGAAAGCCTCAAAACCACCTCCCTCCTTATCAAGGACTCTTTGGTTTGCACTCTGTCTTCAAGTTCTGAGAGTTGTCTCACCAGGGTTTCCCAGGACAACTGTGCATTTGTGGACTAAACGCTTCCAGGCAAGGAGCCCAGGTTTTGCTTGTGAATTTTGGCCCCATACCTGGGTGTTCCTCACACAAGACCTTTTTTTTTTTTTTTCTAATTCCATTACTCAGAGGGTGAATTTTCAAGTCTGGTTAAGAACAGTCTCAGACACCACCTAGCCACTGCGCATGATCTTCCACGTGGCTTCAGAGCTTCCAGTCTAGGAGAAAATGAGGCTCCACGGAAGTGGGTAGAGTTTACTCCAGAAGGAGAGCGAGCTCAGGCTTCCCACATCCAGCTCACAGAAGTGTCTGAAGATCAAACCATAAGGGCCGCAGTGGGTGAAACTGAGGAGACTAGGGTCAGTGCTCACTGAATGATTCCTTCCCCATCAGCTTGAGGTTCTATGCAGGGTTCATACTTAGGGGGTGGACATTGTGTTTCTTCAAGATATGTCTTCGCCAGCCATTGAAACCTCCACACTGGAACTTCCCCTGGCCCCTACCCTGGCCCCTGCTGTCAGTTTGTCAGAGTGGATTAGTGGGTGCTTTATACTTTGTGTTATTAGTTGGTTTTCTTGTTGCTGTTGCAGAATGCCTAGCAGAAGCAACTTCGGGGACGAAGGATGTTTATTATGATATTTTGACTCACAGTCTCGGGAGTTTTCAACCCACAATGACTGGGGAGAAATGGCAGCTCGGGCGGTTCTGTCTGCAGGAGTGGGAGCTTGTAGTATGGTGTGATGGTTGATACTGTCGACTTGACAGGGTCTAGAATACTTAGGAGACAGATCTTCGAGCATGTCTGTGTGGGCTTTTCTAGATTAGGTTAACCGACATAGGAAGACGTATTCTGGAGGTGGGCAGCACCTTGGCTGAGCCCCCACCAAGGTGGGCTGCACCCTCCTCACAATGACCCAGACAGACACCCCCTTCAGGTATTTTGTCACAGTGACGTAGACAAGTGAGCATGTGGCTCTTTACATCTTCATGGGTCAGGAAGCAGAGACCTTTAGACAAGAATGGGATGTGGGCATAGCCTCCAAATGCCACCTTAGTGACCCTAGGGTGGATATTGTAAGCCCTGGTCTCTGGCATCCATCTTTGGAGGCCCCGTCCCTATCCGCCAAGTCTTGACTCCTCCCCGGAGGAGGGTCAAGACGAGCCTGACAAAATCTTGACCACACCCTCAGTCTATTTAAACTGCTTCCCTGGAAAGTTCCCTCATGGTCTCTTTTCCTTCCTCCTGGTGGTCGCGTTAGCAGCCTCCCAGTTCCCCCTCATAGCCACCTGAGACTGCAGAAATCCCATTAAACCCAGACATTTCTTAATTTGGCTTGTTGTGATTTGGCTTGATTGGGATTTTTGCACCGGCAGAGAGCTTGCGTTAGGAAAAATTCCTAACACATATCCCCAAAATTCCATAACCTCTCAAGATACTGCCACCATTCCAGGGACCAACAGTCCACACATATAATTTCTGTCACTTCACATTCAGATTGTGGCTGTCACGGCCCACCTTTGGACCCTCCTAGATCTTCCAGAATCATCTTGTATTACCTGGTCTGGCCCAGGTAACCAGACCACATCTCCAGGCAGCTCCCTCAGAGTGGTGTTAGAGACCAAGAAGTGGCACAGGGTGCTAACCATGGGCACTGCTGCTTAGATGTCCTCAAACAGTGAGTTGTGTGTGTGCCCCACGGCTAGAATTTTTTCTAGATACATGGAAGTGTGTGTGGTTATTTCCTTATACGTAACTGGGATCGTTCACTGTGACTGGAACCCTGACTGCATTGAAAGCCAAAAAAGGTGTCTGTGAGGGAGTT